TGACCCCTACCTCCCACTTGGCGGTTCCCTTGTCCGCCAACCCCCTGTGTGCCCGGTCCTCGGACTCCCATGGCCTGGCCCCTTTGGCCCTGGCCTCCTCCTCTACCTTGCGGCCTCCCTCCAGCCACGATAGCAGCATAGGATCTCCCCCGTCCCACACTACTGTCCTCTTCCTCAAGGCCCCACTCAATCTGACTATATGGGACCTCATCGGTACCACCTTCCTCTAATGTAAGGATCATGTGATCCTTGGCCCTGACTTGGCCCGAGATGGTACGACCCTTCCACCTTTTTCCTTTGTCCAAGTCCTTGTCCCAGAAAGTGGACACTGACATGGACTTTGACTCATACAGGACCACTTCTCTACTCAGCACATCATAAGTGATGTCGGCCTGTTGAGACTTCTCAAAGAAATGCCCATGCAGGGGCTCGGGCATGGCACGATAAAACAATTGGACCAACTGGGGCTCAGTGACCCCATGGTCTGGGATGGCTACCAAGTCGTCCATAACGCCCTTGAGTGCTCTTGCACTCCTCCAATGTCGCGAGTGGATCGTCTGCAACTTATCTGAGGCTCTAACGCCTCTCGTTGGGTCAGCGAATCTCTCCCTCAAGACTTTGAAGAATTGAGGAAGGGTGGTGATCTTGGAATATGCAACCATGTTGTTTTCACAACCAGCTGCGCGCGCAAGGGACCTGGCAAAACTGGCCGCTTCGTCTTTGAGGGCCTGGAAGGCGACGAGGACTTGCTCCTCCATCAGGACGTGCTGTAAATAAACGTAACTATTGACGCTAGCCTCCCAGTTATCAAAGTTCTCCTCCTTTTTCCCTCCATATGCATCCGGGAATTTAAGCTTGACTGGGTCCTTGCGAGGCCTGGTCTCGCCCTCTACAGCGGCTATGGCTTTGGCACCTTCAATGGCGCCCTCACAATACTTCCCCATGCTGTCCCTCAGTCGCCTAACTTCCCCTCCAACGTGGGTAACCATCTCGCGCGCAAAGTCTCGAAAACCGGACTGCATGGCTTTCAGGGCTACCTCCTGAGCTCTATTGGCTTGGCGTTCCTCCATCCAAGCTGCACTCAACACCTCCAGGTACCCCAACACCTTATCCCATTTGGCCTTGTCATCTGCCTGAGTCTCCACCTCCTGACTACAATCCTTCATCTTCGCCACCTCTGCGGTCAACCTATTAACCTCATCCCTCCTTTCTTCTCCCTCTTCGTTCTCAATTTCCACTCCAACGTTTTCTCCTCCTCTCTTTCTTGTCTTTCCAGGGGGTCATCCATTGCTGCTAGCTCCTGGGCTTGACTCAAGGTGACAGGATTCGAACCTATGACCCTCTGTACCCAAAACAGATGCGCTACCAGGCTGCGCTACACCTTGTTATGTTCAATTGGTAATTCAACTAGTTGACTAACTAAGATTGGATTGACTGGAACTGGTAAACTCATTGTTGTAGGTTCAAATCCTACATTCCAGAAATTAAGCCATAATAAAAAAACAGAGTTTGATCCTGGCTCAGAATGAACGCTAGCGATATGCTTAACACATGCAAGTCGTCCCTCTCATCCTGGGGCACATAGAACTCTGCCTCCTCATCCTCCCCCAACGATAAATTAGCTATCCACCCGCTAATCTTCTTCTCCATCTCTGCGTCTTCGTCCTTCTTCGTGCCACTACTCCCCTCTCTACTTTCAATACACATTCTCTCTTGTTCTTCTTCTGTTGCTGCTTCCTCTTCGGCAGCCTCTCCCCTCTCTACTTTCAATACACATTCTCTCTTTTTCTTCTTCTGTTGCTGCTTCCTCTTCGGTAGCCTCTCCCCTCTCTACTTTCAATACACATTCTCTCTTTTTCTTCTTCTGTTGCTGCTTCCTCTTCGGCAGCCTTTCTCCTCTCTTCCTCCTCCTGCTGAACTCTCTTCATCTCCTCCTCCAATCTTTTCATCTTCACCGCCTGCTCCTCTGCAATAACCTTTAGCTTCTCCTGTTTCTGGAGCTCTTTCCTCTCTTTGTTCTCTCACACTAAGGCGGCCATCTTCTCTTGCTGTTCCTGAGTGTAGGGGCTAGTGCTTTTCCCACTACGCAAGTCCACCATGGTGATAGGTGCACAATCAGGACGATTCCACTCCTCACCACTTAGACTCTAACCCCTGACTGACAAACCTATTGACTCAATCTAAGACTCACAGAATCCAGACAGGGATCCTGCCAACTAGGATCTCTAGCCTAGCCCTATACTATGGCTGTCACTACTAGACCTGTTGCTGATCAGGAGGCATTTAAGGAGATCCCCCGTAACTCCTCAGGAATTATTTAACGTCGCAGACAGGATGACGCGATCAGCAGGTCTCTCAACACTTAGACGGCCTGTTGTGCAGCCCACAGCTCGGATTTTGGGCCTACCGTGCCACACCAAGCAGCCCGCCGGTCAGTACCGGTCCCTGGGAGGGTTCGTGTCCTCCGGGACAGTCGAGTCGTCAGACACAGTCTTCAGCCCTACTCAGCCCGTGTGGGTTTGGTCAACAAGGCCCTATCCTTCATCCACAGAGTACTATCACCTAGACAGAAGGGACTCAATGCAGAAAGAAGAGACAGACAGACTGGACTCAGCAAGTACCACAGGGTGTGTTCACATCCATAGGGCGAGGGGTAGGCTGAAGGCTTGGCGAGATTTTACCGGCTCCAGCTTGGTCAAAGTCTTGGTCAACGCCTTGGTCAACGCCGGTCAACGCTGTGGTCAACTCCTGTTTTTTTTTTGATTGTCTCTCTCTCTGCCTCCTCGGCTGTGGCCTTCTCTCTCTCTCTCGCCGTAGCAATATCTCAGTGCAGCAGGTAAGTAGTATCCCAATCTTCTCTCTCTCTCTCTCTCTCTCTCTCTCTCTCTCTCTCTCTCTCTCTCTCTCTCTCTCTCTCTCTCTCTCTCTCTCGGTCTTCTTCTTTGTCGTGATCTTCTGTGCAGGTGCGCGGCGGCTTCTTCCACCTTCAGGTCCGCTATGGCGGACTATAGCTCTCGGCGGCCACCTCTGCTATGGCGCATCTCTCCTGCGACACACAACTTCAGCGCGTGGAATAGCGGGTAACAGCTCCGATACCAATGCAATCAGACTCACTTTCATTCACACTTTTCATACATGTAAACAGTAGCGCAGCAAACCGGCGACATGCGCCCACTCAAAACTCAGAGATATGGCATTCAGATACGAGTTCACTTTCAACTGGCTATGGCGACTCAGCGCCCAAACAACTCACTGTTCACATACACCGGATCACCCTGGATATCCCACACGCGTCACTCTGAACACTCACACATACACACACACACACTTCACACTAACTCTAGCTATGGCGGCTATGGCCGCAACTACCCTCTCACTATGCTACGCTCCTCTCTCGCCCACTTCAGGTCCAGGCTCTCTGCAGACCTCCTTGCACAAGTCGTTGTAGCAGTGCTTCCGCATGGTTCATGCAGGAATGAATGAAACGCTGGGCGCTGCCTCTTGATTTATACTTCTGAAACTCGTTGTGCTGCCCTTCGCCATTGGCCCATGGTGCTCACAGTCCCTGGTGGTACTTGCTGGACCGGACTGGGACTGACTGGACCTTACCGCTGACTGACTGGGGACCCACTGCTATCCCACCGCACTCGTACTGCAATCGCACTGCGGTTTAGTCCACCACTTGGCTCACCACTTGCCCACTTGCCAACCTTCTAGAAGGACTACAGCTAAGACTTCTAGAACTCGCTAAGACCTCTATCCTACAGGTCTAAAGACCGAAACCCTGCTACCTACGGACCTATGACAGCCTATCAACTGTTTACGAATACACAGGTCATAGGTTCAACTCTCGGGGTCTACACAGGTACTGTACACAGATATGGCAAGGTCTAGGGATCGAACCCTGGGATCCGCGTCTGCCACTGCAAAGAGGTGAAAACCGTTTCAAAGGTATGATTTGGCAGATTTATCCTGGTACCCCGCGTTACAGAAATCCTAAGTCCACAATTTTAGGATCGTCCACAAATGGTGGTTCGAATACTTCCTTCCACTAAACTTCCGAGGCACTTCTCTCCGACCCTGGGAACGTCCTGCACGCCGGAAAACGAACGGCTGTGGGCTGTTGACGAAAATCATCATTGGCCGCAAAGGCCCCGAAACTTGAGCCCGCGGCAGATACATGGGCCAAGTACTGGCGGTTTTAGAATATTACCTCGCACCGCGCAGCTGGTGAATTTTGCAAGGGAAATAGCAGTTGACTCCTGCAGCTTATAGTAGGCCAGAGGAACTATCCTGGACTGTGTGCCATTGCTATTGCCCGCGGTCTTTGGTGGGTCTATACAAAAAGTGCCAGTAATCCGACCATTTTTTCTTGTCAGCGGTCAGCATTAGGCCAACTCTTGGCCAGAGGGATTCTGTGCCGCTGTTTTTGTCTGGGGTCTTTGGCCGGGCTATTATTAAGTAAGAGTAATGCAACCAACCTCCACTTGTCAGCATCCAACCGCAGTCCAGCAGGTCTCTGAACCACATTACGCCGTACAAGCTTTTTGTTGAATCGGCCCGTTTGCTGTGACAGGCATCCACGTCAGCGTAACTTTGTCATAAATTATGGCACACAGTGACTACACACCTTCAGTGTCAAGTCACAGAGAGTAACACAGCATACACACACATGTGGCATGCTGATTGGATCCTACCAGCAAGTCGAATTATGTAGGACAGTCGTTTGGCAACTCATCATATGGAGGTTGTTAGTTTCTTTGCGGTTATTCTTTTAGAGTGTGTGTGTGCTTAACGTTGTGTATCTATCTAACCCAATGACGTATGCGTTGAGGTGAAAGGTCGCTGCATTATCTAACGTTGTGTATGTATGAACGTTGTGTATCTATCCAAAGCAATATCCTATGCCAGGCAATGTCCATGCTAATAACGTATTTCTGTCAGGATGACAAGCCAGTGATTGAATAATGATTGAGCTGTGTATTTACATGTTGATGCAGACAGAGAAGAACAAGCTGCACCTGTTGGACTTGATGCTCAACTGCATGAAGCAGGGCCGGAAGCAGAGTTGGCGAAATGCAAACGCTACCAATGTCTGCGTTTCTCTTCTTGGAGGATTAAAGGTGAGCAAAGTGTTGTCCACTGACCCGGGATTTGGCAGACAGCATAGCAAATGGTTGCTTGTGTATTTCAGTTGGTGTGTCCTTTGGGTGAGTGTTGGATGGCTGGCTCAGATAACAAGGATGCATTTTTCAGTTGGTGGCAACTCTTCCTCACAACAGCTAGGAGCTATGTGACTTGCAAGCGTTCTATCAATTATGTGCGCATGGAGAAATTATGTGGACAATTTTAAAACGTGTGTTCCATGGCGTCCATGTGCAGGCGTGTGTGACTCTCAAGGCCTCCAGTGAGCCAGAGGTTGAATTATGGAAGCGTGTTCAGGAGCTTGTACAGGTAAGCTTGCCTGCCTCCCATGATTTATCATCATTTGCGACAGCACGTTTTGGGTGACTTGCATCACATACTAGACCAAAATTGGAAAGGTGGTTGACGGTGAGCACAGTTGTTAGAAATGATTGGAGCAACACTACTGTCTCTATCCGAATACAACGCCTGGTCATTATAGCTGTATTTGGGGGAACTTTCATGCTACATACAGCGATAATGTCCGGGCGTCCCATTCAGGTGACGATGGTAGGCCTCACCACACCTTAGGAGATTATTCTCCCAACAGCTGTGATTGTGTTGTGATCAAACCGTGGAGGATGAGGCCCGAGCCAAGCCTACTAGATGGCGTCTGCTTGGGAGTGTATCCCTATGCACCATGGGGATGAGTGAATTGTGCGTGTGCAACCATCGTCTCTCTCTCTCTCTCTCTCTCTCTCTCTCTCTCTCTCTCTCTCTCTCTCTCTCTCTCTCTCTCTCTTTCTTACCCTTCTGTGAATGTGTGAGGCACCCTTTCTCTCTCCTGTCATGACCGCTCTCTCTCTCTCTCTCTCTCTCTCTCTCTCTCTCTCTCTCTCTCTCTCTCTCTCTCTCTCTCTCTCTCTCTCTCTCTCTCTCTCTCTCTCTCTCTCGCTCGCTCGCTCGCTCGCTCTCGCTCTCGCTCTTGCGCGCGCGTGCACGAGTGCGACTGGACTGCTAAGAGAGTGAAGTATGGGATCTTTGCCTGTGTGGTGTTGTGTGTCGGTGTGAGTAGGACACTACAGCCATGCCCCGGGGGGGGGGGGGAAGGGAGGTTGGATGTCCTGACTCATATGATTCCACTTTTGGACACCGTGTCATGTCTGTAGTGGCTAAGAGACTTGGGTCTTCTGGTTAAGGGTGCTGGGTTCGATCCTATGCATGCACGGGTGGACCCAAGGTCAGAAAGTACCGATCAAAAAGGCACTGTAGGTGCTACGCAGAGGGGCAGTGATGGCCAAGCAGAACGCATTTTCTTTTTCTTTTGCACACACAATGGTGCAGGGAGATGGGCCGTTCTCCATTTCTTCTTCATGCACTTGGAGATGGAGAAAACGACACAGCGACATTTTGGCATGTCGTGGGAGCTCGCTCATTGGCTAGATGAAGAGCAGGAGATGGTAGCTGGGGATTGTGGCCATGAAGCTCATTCATTGACCAAATGAGGAGGAGGAGGAGGTGATCATTGGGATACCGTTTCCTTTACACCATGGCGGCTCATCCAAGGACCAGTTGGGAAGAAATGAAAGGAGGAGGACGGGGAAAAGCTTTTGCCTGGCATGTCCCTGTCCCTGACTTCGGAGGCTGTTATCAGGCCTGGATGAGGTGAGGGATCTGTCCCTATGACCTAGTAGATGGGATGTGACCAGCCTGACGGGACATGGTCGGTCTTGTTCTTAAGTGGTTAATTGACTTGAAGACTTTGAAGGCTTTCAAATCTTTTTTTTTCATTTTTTTGTATAACACGACAACTTGGGGAATATGTTGTGCTGTATCTAAAGTTTTGAAAGTGTTTTAAAACGAGGGCATACTCACACTAGCACTTTTTTACTTGTTTCTGGACCGATTCTAGGCTAGATGCATAGAGGTCTGGGCGTGAATGCTGTCAGATACATTCGCCAGTGTGAGTTTGCCCTGAGATTTGGCTGGTTAATGCAGCGGCTAGATAATGCACAACAACAATGTTTTTGGCTGGTTCTATTACAAAGGCAGCCATCAGGGGTTGTTTCCCTGTGCATGGGCTAAGATCGTGTTGAAAGTCGTGATGGATTGGTATTTGCATTGTACCGCAATCTACGCGAACAGGGACAAAGTTGAATCATGTATTTTATCAAAATTATGGGCGTATGTAGGGTTGCATACCCCCCCCCCGGACTGCCAACGGTATTGCAGCCGACCAGTAGGGGTGACCGGTCAGCGGTCTGCCGACCAGTCGGAAAATAGCCATCCACTTTTGTTTTTTCAAATCTGAGTTGGGGGCTGTACTGCGCTTGCTGAGTACAGCCCAAATCCGGTGAGAAACTTTTGGGGATGAGGGGGGGGTATGGGGGGGTTGGGGGG